GCTGCTATTTCCAAAGGAGGAATGATTGCTAAGAAAAGGAATGCTCCTCCTCTGCAATTATTCCTGAACTTTGGCCCAACTGCTCCAAGGCGTGAGGTGTATAGCATGTCCTGAAGAGTGCTGTCAGACCCAAGAAGAAGAGCAACATCAGCGAAACTGAAAGCAAATCTCTTTGAGTGGTCTGTAAATCAAGGCGTGAGGTGTATAGCATGTCCTGGAGAGTGCTGTCAGACCCAAGAAGTGGTCTGTAAACGGACTGGAGAAATACTGGGCCATCTCTGAAGGGCCCTCAGGTGAGGCTAGGAGGAGTTTTGCTGCTCTCGCTGCTGAGAGGAGGGGTCCCCTGCTACGTGGGAGGACAGAGTAGGGCGGGTATTGCCCCCGTGAAGTTCTTTAACTAGGTTTGACTATCCTGCTGTGGCAGGAGAAAAGGACATTGTTTCATTGGAAAGCCTTCATTAAGGGTTACTTTGGTATTGCTGATGTGAGAGGAGGATGCATCAGTGACAGAAAAAAACCTCTTCTTTTTAACACAAACACGGGACTAGATTCACACACAAACTGCAGCTTGCCAAACCTATAAGGCCACTGTTCTCAGAGGGTTGGGGAACTATTCCCAGGGGAGATGGGTGCTGTTCCTAATACTGCCTTCCCCTTAGTGCCTATGCAATGGGCTGCTGAGCCGATGCACAGAATCTAATTCCTCTCCTAATTGGTATGGCCCCATCCCCTTCCACGCCAATATTGCTCACTCTGTGAGAGGTACTGGCCTCTAGTGGAAGGTAGACTAGGTGTGGCCAAGCCTTGGTACTCCTTCCACCTATGGTCTATTACAGTTGGCCTCCTGTTTTATTCTACTTCTGCCCATGTGATCTGCACTAAGTACCTGCTGGAAAGTATGAGGTGAGTGTGGTTTCTGTGGGTGTGTCCTGGCCACATTCCACCTCACGTCATTTACGGCTGGCAACCTAAAGAAACAAACAAAAATCACTTGTGTAGACTCCTAAATTGGTTCAGGGTGATGTTTCCGTCCATGGCAAGGCTGCATTTCAATGGGTGGGGGAAGGTCATCTTTTTGCCAAGTGTGTATGTCAGCTTCTTAGATCTGCAAAATGTGCTGGGCTCCTAAGAAGTTGGAAAAATGCTAAACCAGCTGGTCCACTTCCTTCCACTAGGGCAGATGTGTTCTCCAAGATTCCATGCTCGTGACAAAAGAGGGGATGAATCTTTCATTCAGACTGAGTTCAGGCACAAATATTTATCACCTCGACCGTATCCCTACACAAAATGTCACACTCCTGTAGCTCACCTGTGCTTGCTTCCCTACCAGTGTCCCCAGCCTCTTGCATGCTTATATCCTTCTCCCTCATGCTGTAATCAGTCTGCATGTGTCAACCACACCTGCCTGAAAGAGAAAACCTGGACTCCTATCTTGGGTACTGTCACCTCTCCCCTCCCTAAAGTTTTCCTTGTTATATGATCCAGAAAAATTGACATTAAAAGAAATGTTAAAAAATCAGGAAAATAATTTAGTCCTAGAGGGTCAGTGATGGCACAATGGAGGGTGCTGAGCTCGGGAACTCCCTTTTCCACAGCCTGCACCTGCTTCGGCTCTTTGTTGCTCCTTTTATCTATTCAGTGCCATTTTTCACAGCTGCAGCACTGAATTGAAGCCCTGATATTCCAACAAAGCCGGTAGCATCCATCTTGCCTGAGCTGCAGAGTTCCTTGCTCCTGGGGCTCCGTCATAAAGCAGTGGATGATGTTCAGGGTAAGGATGTTAAGAGGCATGTAACTGACTAATCGTGTAATCGATACAATTTGTATCGACTGCATGATTAGTCCATAAGGGAAGGTGTTGCTGGCCCTGCTGCTACCCCCACTGCAGCTCTGCCGTTTAAATGTAGTAGGAGCCAGGTGTGCCGGCAGCCCACCTCCTACTATATTTAAACTGCAGAGCCGCAGCGGGGGGACACCAGCTAGAATCGCTGCGGCTCTGTAGTTTAAATGTAGCAAGAGCCAGGCAGCTCTTACTACATATAAAATGCAGAGCCGCAGCAGTCCCGGATCAGCGCAAGCAAGGACTGAGCTGGGCTTGCTCGGTCTCTGTTTGTACTGAGTCCAGCAACCCCTGTCCAAGGCCAGCCCTGGCTGCCGTGAACAGGGGTTGCTGCTGAAGCAGCCTCCCCTCCAGCCTCTTCCCCTGCTACCTCTGATAGAGGCAGCAGTGGAGAAGGAGGCATCACCGGCTCTTGTTTCCTCCCCCCCTTGCTGCCTCTGTGTCCCCTCTCTGCTCTGTGGAGATAGGATATAGAGTAGGAGAGGGGGCACCTTGACATCAGTGCCCCTCTTCTCCCTTCTGGCCCATGTTCATGCTGCTGGCCACCACCTGGTGAGCAGTGGCTGCCCACAGGGTGGGGACTCAGGAGGGTGGCCAACTGCAGCTGCCCGCAGCAGGAGTGGAGGGTTGCCGGGGGAGGGGGCACAAAGCCCACAGCCTGTACAGCCAGCTGGAAAAAGCCACAATTTGAAGCTGGAAGGCGCTGCTTCTCTCCAGCTGCTGGCTGTGGTGGTGGGGT